ACAGTGATAGTGACACAGATTTAACATAATATCAAAGAATATTGACGCTTATAGAAGAACGTTCAAATGGACGATTTGGTTAGGGTTCACACTTTAAAACACATCTGGCAGTCGGCTTAACTATCTCATAAAAGATGTAGTTAGGGGAAAGTGGGAAAGGAGTACGAACGGAGCTATTTATTTAACTTTGCATCTACGATTTAAAAAAATCCCATGCTTTTTTTGTTTTTTTTCACAATAAAATCTTTTTTTTCAATGTATTAAATTGTTAAATTTTGAATTTTGAAATTTAAAAAGTATGATATTTACAATATTCAAAGCATTTATTTTATACATTTATAACTTTGAATTAAAAATAGGTTTGTTCCAACACAACGAAAAAACCGTCACATACATTTTTATTATACTGTTTTTCTGACCAAAAATTAACGAAATATTTTTTAAAAAATATTCGTTTGGGTTAATTCAACCAAAAATTTGATTTTCTCAGGACTTTTCATAAGCTTTTTAGACATGTTTCCATTATTCTGCAGAAAAGACAGTGTTGTGTTTTACATTTTGTTATTTTATATTAAAAACAAAGAAGAAATTATTAAATTTAGAAAATTTGGAAATATTTAATTCCGGTGATTGATGACTTTATTGGTTGAATTAATTTTATAGTTAATAAGAAGAGAGTTCTTCTTATTAACTATAATATTATATGTAATTTGTACCTATTTAAATTAAAAAATTCGATCATAATATTTTTTCTAATAGGATTCATTTATTAAAAGTTTAAAATATTATTATTTTCTTTAAAAAAATATTATAAAAACGCAAAAATTTAATCCTATTCTACGGCCACGTGGCATATGTGTTCGTAGTTCTCTGGCATTATACATAAAAATATCCGTTGCATTTGTTGCCCCACTTTTGATATTTTAAAAGCAATAATAGCGTTGACATGACCGCTCCCTTCTCGATCCACCCTCTCATTCTTTTCATAACGTGCGATCATCTTTTGCAACTTTCAAACATAACAGTGAAAGATTCTTCTATAAGCGTCTAATTCTTTGATAATATCTATGTGATATAATATTTATACCCGTTTTGTGTGTGTGTGTTTTGTGTTTTATTGGCACTGGTTTTCACAACCAACTGGCCAAGTAAATTTCATAATGATTTTTTAGCCTATAACTTATCACTAACTCAGGAGAGTAATGTATAGTGTCTGTGTTAAGTAAATATCTTGTTACTTTAGTAAAATCGACGTCATTGTCTTTACAAAGAGACGCTAATTGTATCCGAACGTCTGCGGTCCTCAGGTGAGTACCGATTTACTCGTTTTAAAAGGTTTATATTTATTCACGTTAACTTGTTATGTTTAACTTTTCCGTTTCATGTCGGAGAAAGTTGGCAAAAATGATAAATTTCTTTATTAATAATTTAAACGAAAAAAAAATTATTCTTCACTAAAGGTTATGCATCAATATAATTATTAATCAATAATCTTATAAAATATTAAGTTGTAGATAGGGAAAATCATAATTATTAATTAATACTGAAGAGCAAAGTGGATTTGTAAATTTAGATATACAAGAAAATGTTATTTTAAAATGTTTGTAGGTATTAAAAATGATGTCATAAGTTTAGATTCATGGTCTTCTAATAATTAAATAATACATTTAAAGGAAAAAGTAAATAAAAAAATACTTTTGCATTGTTGGTTTTATATATTGAATAAGTTATCAGTTTATGTATAATTTTTTTTAATTATCTAGGTATTTATTTAAATTAAATATGTAATGTAAATGCCAAATAAAATATAAAATTCGTTAAGCCGGCTCTTTTACTATTTACCTGAAGAGGTAAATCACTTTAATGCGTCGACTTTATCAGCGGGATACTTTTAAATCCTGCATAAGTCAATTCTTATAATTGTGAATGAACCATACTTATATACGGATGCTCCTTAACCCACTTTTCCAACAGTATTATGCGCGACCACATACATTGAAAATTACGTCTGCCCATTTCCAAGACTATTAAGAAATCGATTATATAATTAGGAGTATGCCCAGACGCATTTCTTTATTGCAGAAGACGTCAGAAAGACCAAACATATTTTTTTTCTTTTTTTTTTCCAATAGTTTGATTTTTCTGACATTTGGATCTCTTACTTACTGGTTTAAATGAATTCATTATTACTGGGAGTTTTTTGTATGTAGTGTATTAATCCTTGTTAACAAATGCAGTTTCTTCCTTATATACGTTGATAATATTTTAAAGTACCTTATTTTTGTTGTCGTTGTTATATGTCATAAGTTTTACCAGATATTTGTTTTTTTCCGAAATGGGTCTATTGTAAAGTGTCTGCGTCATTACCTATGTTCAGGCGACTGATTCTGTTCTCTCTCGCAGAGTCTGATACTTAAGGTCTCCATGAAACAGCTTCATTATATACAGATATCCCTTGACTGGCGCATGTGCAGTAAGGAAGCTTCTTATGATTCTGATCGTATTCCTGCTTGTTTTCCGCAGTACCTCACCCATATTAGCGCATGTCTGTTAAATATACCTTTCGCCATATGCTTAACCTGGTATTTTGTATATTTTTCCAGTGGGAGTTATGTTGTGTTCGAATCCAGGCTTTTTTTCGATCATGGACAGTTCATTTATCACTCTGAAGGCCGGCTATAGGTCGAAGTATTTCGTAGTTAATTCTGTTATATCCCGCTAGTCTATCGTGTCCTCGACAGTCCCACACTGACCTAAGGACTATATTAGGGCTACTGAGATCCCCTACAGCCGCTTGACTAGCTGTACGAATATTGGCCCGCTTAAGTTCAAAAACCCCTTATGTTAATTTTAGCACACAAGACCGACATGAAACTACAAATAAATTTATCTCTTTAGGATAGACTGACCTAGGAACACTACACACTGTAGATAGCCCTTATAGGGGGTGTGCAATAAAATCTCTCAGTACGAGGTTAGATAAAATCAGGATATTTGCTAACACGCACTTTTCCAAAAATAATCGCTTAGCACTATCTGATGAACACATTAAAAATGTTCCCCTTCTCTACTGCGGAAGGGAACTGTTCGACTTCTAGAGCAGTGGTGCCAATATTTAAACCTACTTTGCCCTGATTTAGCAGCGGTACTTTTAATAAGCCATTAATTTAACCACTAAAACAATATGTTGTGTACATGTAGTATCCCTAATACACATAAAATAATTTGTTAATTAATATTTAATCTCCCTAGGTATGGATTTGGCCAGACTGATAAATAAACGACCAATTCACAAAAACAAATGATAGGCCAGTCCAGCAAACACTTTATACATATTTATGACATATTTGTTGTTGCACAAAATATAAAATTAACAGACTGAACTGGAAATTGTTGATACTAGTGGACAAAGCCCCCAGTACAGACGAAAGAAGCTGGATCGATAATGTATAATATTTCTCACAAATATATTTTTTAATGAATAGGTGATGTCGAATAAATGAACTTTGAAAATAAGGCTATTATCGAGCACAAGTTAATTAAATCTAGCCCAAGTACTTTCGCTTAAAATAGCATCTTCAGGGGCATTTCGTCAAAATAAGAACTATCCGGCAAGCGTAGAATGTGGAAACATTAAAAATAACATAAATTATACAAAAACACTACACTAAAACGAGGACAAACAGTTTAAAATTAATTCTACGCTACATTCTCTGTCAGTATCTGGATGGATAATGATTTATTTTTTATTATCCATTATCCATCCAGATACTGACAGAGAATGTAGCGTGGAATTAATTTTAAACTGTTTGTCCTCGTTTTAGTGTAGTGTTTTTGTATAATTTATGTTATTTTTAATGTTTCCACATTCTACGCTTGCCGGATAGTTCTTATTTTGACGAAATGCCCCTGAAGATGCTATTTTAAGCGAAAGTACTTGGGCTAGATTTAATTAACTTGTGCTCGATATGCCTATTTCAAGTTTATATTTGCCGATGAAACAAAACTCCCCTTTCGTGACGAATTCTATTACAAAGCGATTGGATTAATATAGAGGAATCTGACGGAGGCATGTGCCAATGCTTTATAATCATTTTTAATCCTCTTGCAGAGAGTTTTCAATGCAAACAAATGATTCGATTTTGCTTATTGTAATAGGCGCAATTCTTACAGAGAAAACGATTTGAAGAACTCACGGTTACTGTGATTAAAACTTATTCAAATAAACACCTAGGATAGGCCTATTCTTTCGCAATTCAAATGTTTATGATAAAAAACTAATGTTCAAATTTTTAAGCAGATGAAGCCTTATAGAAAGTCGCAAAAGTTACTGCTTTCTGAATTAAATGCAATTTGAAATACGTGAATTAAAACTTATTACGTTACACTTTTTCTCTTCCTCTTCTTGCCAATGCCTCTCTCTCTCACCTCTTTCTCTTCTGGCTTTCGCTTCTCTTTCTCTTCTTATCTACATTTTTTCTCTTCTTGCCTACGCTTCCCCTATTCATTTTCCATTGTTTATCAAATTCAGTAGATCATGTATTAACCATTAACAATTACTTAACATCTCTTTAAAATTACCGCTGTCTTTTTATTTAAAACAGCAATCAATATTATAATACTTACTATCAACTTTTAACTCAATGAAAATTCTGCAAAAACTGAATTATTTCTCCTTCATCACCTTTTTATTGGTTTGCATTATAACTCAATTACTGTGTTTATATACATTTTCTGACGTTCCAGCCATTACGAGGCATTTCGAAATTTTTCGATGACATCTCGAACGTTCTAGATTTTTAATATTTCTTCTTTTTCGTCAAGAGACTGTTTTCTGTTTTTCTGGAATAGATCTTACGGAACAGTACTCACCATTATCCGGATACCATTCCGAAGATTTAGTTACGTGACAAAAACGAACTTGCATTACAGTAAACATTACGAGTTGCACTAATGCATATATGTATCATTATTTTCTGCTAATAATTGAATATTTTTAGATTCTTCTAAACCAACGTCGGAAAAATCGAACAGAAGGAATAGCGATGAGAACATGGTTGTATTGATAAAGGATGAAAACGAAGTATCCGATGATTTCTACTCCGTTCCTACTCAGAAGATAGTGCGGAAAACCAGTACACCTTTACCTATTGCTAAAAGTTTACTTCAGCCAAACACTTTACCTGTTGATGTAGAGATGGAAGATAAAAATGCAAAAAGTACTCAGGAGATTAGTACACCTAAAAGGAACAAAGAAGATGTAAAAAATCAAAATAATTTAAAACAGAAAAATGAAAATTCAATATCTAATATTAGTAATGATCAATTGCACGAAAACCTACCATCAACCTCGAGTTGTAAATCACCAGAACATAAAATTAAAATCAACTCTTCCGATGATATCAATAATAGAACTGAAGAACGTTATTTGAATATAGATAGTGTAGACAAAGTAACTACTGAAGATTTTGAGAAAATAATGAAATCGCCTACCAATTTTAACAAAAGAAGTACTACCGATGAGCTGATGGAAGGTATTACCTTTGAAGAATACTTTAATTCGCATTTGGATGATGACACAATAAAAAATTCAAGTGTTGAAATTGTATCAGAGGATAAAAAAGAAGATAACACATCTCAAGAATGTACTATAGGTAACGAAAATGGATCGGTAGTAAATGACCCAGTACAATCAGCACAGTTACCACTTACCAGTTTAACGTCGGAAGAAAAGAATATTGATAATAACAGTGACATTAGTATAAATTCGGACGATTATTACAATGTTTATTCCGTAGAAACTCAGCCTCTCTCCTCAGACGAAGAAAACGAAAGAAATTCCGAAAGAGGAGAAGGTAATAATTCCAAAAAAAGCCCTTGTGACAAATTTACAGCCAAAGAAAGTGAAAATTACATTGATAATGATTCTTCAATTACAAGTGATCCGCACATAGATGACAATTTTGATTCGGATACTGATCACAATGTTGAAGGAGTTCCTGAGGAAATTTCAAATACGAGAGATTCTGCAGCCGCTGGAGATGACAATAATCATCAGACGACCAATAAGAGTTTTAGCGATTCCGATGAGACAGATATTGAAAAATCACCTGTAATAAATGATATTGTACAACTTAATGTCGACAACTTTTCTTTAGAAAATTCTAATTCTAGGGCAGAATCAATTAATTCCGATATTTCACACACATCATTTGATTTTATAAACAATGAAGAACTTCAAAAAGGTAAGTGCTTTTTTTTTGTTTTTTTCGACATTAAACGTCCACATTTTCCTCTTTAAAAAAATATAGACTAATACTTTTAAAATATTTATTTTATTTAAATAACGGACATAAAATTCGTATTTTTTGACTGAAACAATTTAATATTTGATGATTTTGTTCTAGGTTTTAGGTCATACTGAAGTTTTTATAAAGATTAACTTTTTTTCACAAAACTAAAAATAATAAAAGTTTCCCATATGGTTCAATTAAGTCTGTACTATAAAACTTCTCTATTGTTAGTTTTATGAAAAAAGTTTTTCTTTATAAAAAGTTCTGCATGATCTAAAATCTCAAATACAACATCAAATATTAAATTGTTTCAGTCATATACTCGGTTCGTCAAAAAATATGAATTTTATGTTCATATTTTTTGTCAAACCTCGTAAATGACTAAAAAAATTTCTATTTGATGATTGTATTTAGGTTTTAGCACATACAAAACATTTTATAAAGAGTAACTTTTTTTTTCATAAAACTAAAAATAAAAAAATTCCCATATCGTGCGGACTTAATTCGACTTAAAAGGACTTTATTTGTAAAAATTGGAATAGGACAATAATAAATTAAAATGACAACAAAACTGACTGCGTTGAAGTAACAGCTAAGAGTGGTCTTCGCCGTCTAGGATGCTAATTAATTACCTGTCTATAAAACGCAGAATTGTTGTTCTCAGGGCTTTTGGCTAACGGTCAGTCCAAGGGTCTTCCGCAAGTCAGTGGTTTCCATGGGAACATAATGATGAACTCTAGTTCAAGGTTAATATTTTCTCATATAACATATTTTATATTATATATGTATATATATACAATGAGTAAGTTCCAAAAGAAATAAATCTTTTGGTCAACGAGGATATCGGTCAAAGGAGAAATAATACAAGGAAATCACAGTTCCATTCCTATATTTGAAGACGTTTCGCTTATTGAATTTACAATCTTCATCAGTTCAATCTAAAAAATTACAATGTTAGTAGGCAATAATATAACAAAACATGGAATGAGAACTTACGAATGGTGAGTGAAGAATAATAAGGTGTAAAACAAACACACCATTCTCTTGGTAACTGTGGTCAAAATATTAAAATGTTAGTATTGAAATAGTAGCTTAACTGTTTTTATGTAGTAGTATTGATGTATAACAATGCGAAAAAGTTTTATTTAAACGTGAAAGAATGAATAAAAACTACTACAAAGCTCTATAAAAACTCGTCATGTTGCACGTAAAAAACTAACTTATAATAGTAAAGTGTAGATATAAAATTAAAAAAATGGACTAATCACACTGGCACAGAGCTATTGTTATAACAAAGTTAACGTTAAAAAAGATTTTGTACTTCACTTTCGGACGCATTTCAAATTACAGGATTCTAACCCGAAAAAGAATGTCAAATTGCCGGTATTTACAATGAAATGAAAGTGTGTCGTTCATCGTTGTGAATTGATCCAACTTTTGGAAAGGTTGGAATCTGAAATTTATTATGGCGATTAGTCAGGGAAGGAAAATATAGATTGTCAAATAAGTGAAAGGTTTGGATGTACATTAGGAATGAATCAGTATAAATGTATAAGGTTGGATATGAGTGTAAGTACTAGTGGGAAATAGAGAGAAGGTTGATAGGTAACTGGGATGTGATAATAAATGATCAAAGGAAACGGACTTAAAACAGTCTGGATGACAAAAGAAAGTCGAAGAATTCCTCATTTGATATTGGAGAGAAGAGAATGGTATAATAAACTGAGGTTGTCGATGTCGGTACGTTTATTCATGGTGGAGGGATTGAGGAAAATGTGGCACATTTCAAGGAAACTTCTCTTGAAATGGTGGCTTTCAATAAGTTTTTCTACTTGTCGTGAAACGAAACCAGATTTTGAACATGTTTTCACAAGGAACAGATTTTGTTATAGTACTATAATATTTTATGAATATAGTGGTTATGTTAAGATATACATGGCGATGGTTTTTCCACCACTGTAATGGAAAGTTCCAATCTCCGTTTGAAATTTTTTGTGGGTAATATATTATCAGACACATACATGTCGACTTCTTTTATATCTCTCGATACAGGTGTATATTTAGATGAGTCATGTCCAATTAATTCATGAGCTTCTTAACTCTTCCTTTTGTTTTTTATAACTAGGTATTCTGATTAATGAATGAGTTTCGATTTACGATTGATCTGCATTTTCGATTTCAAATCTTTATTGATAGTTCGTCAAAGGATTTATTTATTGTAAATATTCAATTAAGAATTCTGTTTCTTAGTCAAAATTATTGACCTAGTATAAGAATAATAATTTTATCTTCAACAAATGCACATTTGTAGAAGTTGCAGCTTTTATGGTCCATTTTCTGAATATTGCAATGATTGAAACTTCTCCTGACGCATTTCTGTCCATTTCGACTACTTCTACTACAAGTACTGACATGATACTTCCATTAATAAAAATATTAGTTTAGAATAAAAGAAACAAATAGATATGGATGTACTAAACCTATGCAAAGCCTCTTTTCATCCGTTTTCCATAGTTGAAAAACGAGCTTTTAAAAAGTTTGCACTGGATTCCTGGATATAAACCGCCAACAAGAAAAACTTTGTCAGGTCCATTACTTCAGGAATGTTATATCAAAACTGAGCAAATTATTAGATCATAAGTTGTTAAAGAAGTAGAAAATATCTGTATTACTACTGACCTCTGGACATCTAGAGTAACTGAGAGTTACATCGCATTAACAGGACAATATTTAACTGAAAATTTAGAATTTAAAACGGTTTTATTGGGCTGCTGCATTTTTCTGGAAACCATAATTCAGAAAACATCGCGTTTGAAATTAGTGAAATTATTAATCAGTGGGGTCTAAAACGAAAAGTAAATTTTGCAGTAACTGATAATAATGCCTCAAATATGGTCAATATGGTATTAAAGATGTTTTGGAATGAAAACATTTAAATTGTTTTGCTCATACGTTAAATTTATTGGTGGATGACGCACTTAAATGCTGTCGTGTACAAATAGATAAAATAAAAGGTCTTTTTTTCGACAATTCGGCAAAAAACACATTTCGAAAAAGTACCTTATCTTCAGAAAGGCTTTTAAAGTATCAATTACAACATAACAAAATTCCCAAGCGGCCAATCCAAGACGTGGAAACTAGGTAGAACTTTACCTATTACATGTTAAAAAGAATGACCAAGTTAGAAGAGGCAATCCGTTCCACATTGGTATTAGTTAATACAGACTTAGACTTAGACCAAATCTAAATAATGAAGACTGGATTATTTGTTCTCAACTTTCCCAAATTTTACGGCCTTTTAAAGAAAGAACAAGTACAATTAGTGGCCAAGAAATAACAAGTACAATGATGGCCAAAACTACTTGAAGGATAGTTCTGTGGTTGTTATGATACGCTGCCTGCAAGAATCTTGCAATAAAATTTTAGCAAACGGTAACCTTATATCCATAGTATCCGACGTAGTACAATTACTAATATCCGGTTGTATTGTTTAGTTTATTTTTCAAGTTATAATAAATATATCCTTCATTAGTTTCTTTCACTTCAATAAATATACACATAAACGATAACAACCATTATGTTTGTTCATGTAGGTACTCTCTTACTTGAAACTACTGTTAAACAATCACAGTAACTTGTTTACTAAAATCGGTTTACGATAAAAACGTTAACGACCCACCTCTACTCGTTACCTCTGTCCTCACTTTGATTCGGTGCTTTGACGAATCGAGAGATCGGCAGACGAGACGTTGCCAAATAATTTTGTATGAAGCTTTTGTTTATTGTGGCATCATATGCAGTTTTTTATTTTTAATGTGAATAAGGCACAATGTGACTTTAAATAAGCTTATATTGACGTTTAGATTTTTAATTCGGAAATCGTACTTAAAATACGAAACATTAATCAATTTTATTTATATAAAACTTTATATTTTATTTATATAAAGCGGCTTAGTCTAGAATATGCTGGGATCTGATGGGCCTATGGTGGAGCAGTACGGCAAGAGATAAGGGCTTGTGGTTCGGTGATACTCCTTCATAGATATATATAGATATATATATATATATATATATTATATATATATATATATATATATATATTATATATATATATATATAACGATTTCCGAAGTGGAAATTAAAATGTTATATTACACTTATTGTAAAGTAAAATTGTGGCATATTTCCAATAAAAAATAATAAGCTGCCATTTAAATCCATTTCGGCCAAATTTGATTATCTTAGAACATTGTTCAAATGCTAAAAAGACAACAGGTCAAATAAAACCAATAAGTATGGAAACGTGGAATTTCCCCTTTTTTATTATTTCAACTCAATTCATTTTCGGCGATATAAAGGGCGGACCTAATATACCTCTCTCTAAACAGGTGTTTCTCACTCCATCTCACGTAAGGTCCATACCGACCATAAACTTTTACCTATACTGTATGTGGTCCATGCATGATCTTCCTGCCTTGAAGCCTGCCTGATCCTCCCCGATTTTGCCTTTTATCGCTTGCTCTATCTTTTCTCAAAGTATCTTACCATATAATCTTTCTATTGATGATATTACGCTTATTCCTCTGTAATTTTCGCACCGTTTTCTATCTATCTCCTTTCTTAAATATACATGTCATATATGCCTCCGTCCATTCCTTTGGGAGCTGTTCTTCATTTATGGCTTTCTGAAATATCCATTGTATCATCCGGTGTACTTTTTTTGATCCGTATTTTATTAGCTCAGGTGAGATGCCTCCAGGTCCCGGTGCTTTCATATTTTTGATTGCTTTTATGGCCGTTCTCATTTCCCTATCTGTTATTTCTATTTCTTGTTGTGGGGATCCTCTTCGTCTTCGCCCGTTTTCTTTTCCAATGATTTGGGGTCTTTGTTTTGTTAACAGTTCCTTGTACGGGGAATCACTACAGGAGCAATACCAATTTGTGGCATTAAA